ATGTTATTCTCTACTCCCTCATAGGTAGCAGATACTCTACGCAGTATATTTATGCTTATGTAACTGGCCGTAGCGAGCGTAACGAGTGAAGCATGATTGTATTTTTAAAATCACTATTGAGTGTAAATAATAGCTGACCTACGGGTATAAATATATTAGTCACCCTGTTTCCTTTTTTTCCCTTCGTTTTCTGCTTGCGTCGTCTTTACTACTGAGGGAAGGGATTGGAAAATGGTAGAGTTCTCAGTCGCATTTCATGGCTTAAAAGGGCCTTTACATCGCTATTGGAAAATGGGAAAATTAGCAATAAGATGCAAAGAAGCTTCCCCTTCGTCATTTTATATATACAAAATTATAAACTCTATTTAAACCATGCATTGCTTACACGCAAGGTAACAAAAGGAAGGATACAAGTCTGACTCTGACACCACTCCATCTCTATTGGCAAAAACAAATGACTTATTAACACTGATCATCGCTAGCCCAACTTCTACATTCCGCGTAGGAAGTTAGCTTCCTTGATGCTCTTTCGTCGGGCCTCCCTAGCACTCTTGGTGATTTGCGAGCGTGTATCGATGCTGGATTTCGCCGTTTCTAGGAATTCCGGGGATTGGGCTTGCGGGACTGCGTCTGCTGGAGTGATATCGATAGCTTGTTCATGAAGTGGAATTTTACGTGGTTGAGAAGCTGCAAGAGCTGCCATCTTTCTTTCGTGACGGAGACGTTGCTTTTTATTCATGACTATTTCATTGGCGGTTAGAAGATTATACTAAAAGGATACAAAGATGAAAACGGTATGGGTGGGACAGCCGTAATATCATGGACTTACTGGAAAGATGTGCGCTTCCGTCCGCTTTTGACCTTGCCTTTGCCTCGTCAAGCAGGCCCCACAGCCAATCCGGATATTCATGATCTTCCAGGGCAAAAACCTCGGGTTTATTTTTCATGTAGTTTATGCCTTTAAGTTTGGTACCTGCCGGGGTGCCGCTCATAACACGCGATGGCTCATTTCTCGTAAGTGTCACGGGTGCACTTAAGGACGGAGGCGCAACTGATGGGAGGGCAACTGATGGGAGGGCAACTGATGGGGTAGACGATGACTGGGGTGATGAAGGGTTACCGGAAGCAGGTGCGCTATAATGGCGAAGACTCTGTCTGTATGGGACGAGAGTTGTGCATCGAGATGCCTGGAGGGAGGTAGAGCCTTGTTGGCGGAAAGGAAGACGGCTGAGGAGGCTCGTTCTGCAGCGTTGGCATAGCATTTTCGGGAGGTGGGAAATAATCTGGGCGATGGTGGCCCAATTCGATATATGAGCTATCCGAATAAAGTTGGTTATGAGCTAGGCGCAAGTTTACTACAAATGAAAGGGAAATCCGATGTGGGTGCAATGTCCCAAAACGTGGAAGGAGAAAGTTGGATGCCAAGGCCAATAAACTAGAGCACGTGATCAACGAACAATTCCAAGGTGCTAGCTGGTTGGTTGGATATAGAGAGGGACGCTAGTCTGTACTAGGAAGCCCTGGGTACCTACAAATCTGTACAGATTAGTTTGAACTACAGATGAAGGCTCAATACATGTAATTGCTGCAATTCCATCAAGTTTTTATCCATTCTTAATATAAGCTGGCTGTCAGACGATTTAAAGGAATATATATTACAGAATATTAAAGAAAACAGGATCTTCAAACAGCTGAATGTAATGATCAGCCAGGCACGGGCAGGCAAGATTAACCACTCGGCCAAAAAGGTCATACGCAATAACAGCTGCACACACTCTCTGATCTGATTCCATGGAAGGTTGGCTAAAACAGTCTAGAGTCATAGGCTTGGACGCCCTGGAGATTGCCAATTTCCCGGTCATCGGGCGTGGCGTCAGAACGCTGCAGCATTTCAAGGTTGGACAAAGGATTCTAACCATTCCATCTGATGTTCTCTAGATAGTTGAACATGTATATGCTGATTCCTTTCTTGGACCAGCCCTTCGTTCTGTGCAGCCACCCTTGTCTGTTGATGACATCTTGGCTATGTATATTCTTCTTGTCTAATCGCGCGAGTCAGGATACAATGGCCTGTGAAGCCATTTGACAGCGCTATCTAAGAGCTACTTTTCAAGTATCTTTTTACAGAGGATGAGTTAGAAGTTTGTACTTAAACTCCACTGTGCGCCATAACAAAGCAGCCGGGGCGATACATCCAGGGCAATTACAGGGCATTAGTCGTGCGACTGCTTGCCCGGCATCGAGATCTTTTTCCACCCAGCAAATTCACCATCGAAGATGCAGGCAATATACACGTGTGATGGATATTGCGAATCGACAAACTAACACTTCTTTCTTCCCTTTTAGTACAAATGGGCACTTTGCACCGTGTGGAGTCGCGTGATGGATTTTGTACTGCCTGAAGCAGTGTTACACCTACCATCCCTTTTCTGGAAATGTCCTTGTGGGGAAAGACTACGAAGCTGGACATAAGGTATGTTCATCATCTTGCTTTCTGATGCTATTAATTTGGGCGCTTATCTGAGGAGTATTCTTTCAGATGTTAATAACTTAATGCATTACAGATCTATTTCAAATAATCACCTTTTACATCTCTATAACTTTATCATACTCAGTTCTCCTAATGACAACTATGAGCTTATTCTTGAAACACACTCATGATGCCATTTTTTGAGCAAAAGCATAAGCTCTGAGTATCAGCTGAACTCAATTTGATCTCTATCATCTCTCTCACTCTCACTGATCTGCTACTGAAAAATGTTCTTCAATACCTTCATATTCAGTGGTCAGATGAATTGAATCCCAACCAACACCATAGCACTTTGACAAATTGAATCTAAAGATGAGAAAATCAGTGGTTCAAATGAGATGAAAGTTCTGCAGTCTCTGGTAGAATTGTTCTGTGATCTTCTAGATAGTTTCAGAACTCAACTGAATAAGTTAGAAGAATGACTTGCAGAGAGAGGGTGTCTATCCTTCAAGAGGGAATGTATGGGTGGTGGTGCACATTAGTTTGGGCGAACAGCAGGTGTTGAGATTGGCAAGAAAGAGAGCGGAAGATATGTTAGTAGCGGTGGAGAGCGGAAGTGGAAATGAGAAGGATTCGTTATCGACGCCGGCGCGATGCGCGAACTGCGAAAAAGGACTCTGCAATTGATGATGTGTGGGAGGAGCAACGCAGTTATGTATGGTGGATGGACGTGTCAGGTTGCTCATTACGAAGAGCACAAGGCAAAATGTCAATGTACAGCTTCTAAGGCTGGTTCAAAAAAAATTAAGAGCGTTTGCAACCTTGTTCGTCAATTACTCAAAATTGCATCTTCTTGCGCGTGGCTTTGGCCGAGGCCAGTGCTCAACAGGGGGGTCATTAAGCCTTCAACTGCTCTGCTCCGCCGTTGGTTGTCATCTTCAAAAGGAGAGGCTACATCCATAAGGCGGAGTTGGACTTCTCAATTTAAAAAAAAATTTGAAAGCAGAAGCCAATCCAATCACATAATTATATTTTGTAGCATGGTCAGCATCTATACCGATACGGCTGTACAGAGTGCTTGTCGCATTCAGAAGGAGACAATATATTTCAGTGTAACTATGGAGGATCCTCTCAAAAGTTTTGATTAGCGCTAGGAATTTAATCTGTAATATTGTTACCATTCTCAAGGATCTTCATTCCCAAGCACCTTGAAATTTGGACTATCTTTAGTTAAGCTGGAGTGGTTTAATTCAGGTGCCACAGACATTGACACCTTAGAACCCAGTTGTAACTAGTGGTTGAGGTTGATGCTGGTTACAATTACAACTTAACTTCTTAGTGCTAATCAAAACTTTTGAGAGCATAACAAACGTGTTTATCCGTACAATCTCTCCGTCAAGGAGACCATTTCTGACAGATGGGAGAAAATAGAAAAAAGCAGCAGAACAGGAGGAAATTACCGAGGCTCCCGTAATTATGGGCGCGTTAACTGGTTGAAGAGACCAACAGGAGCCAATCACTCAATCACTCAATTTCTAAAGCGCCTGTGCTTAGATCATTTTGATTCAACTTTTCTTGGAAAACGCAAGGAGGGAGATGGTCTCGGTGTCAGCGCTACAGCACTGCCAACAGATGAGAATCACCCTACAAATGCGATGCTGATGCTTGCTCGGCCACATCGCCGCTCAGCGAATAAATAGTCACCGCTACCAGCACAAGCAAACCAGTACCTTGACCGCACCGAGCAGCAAACACCAAGGTTTGATCAGGTTAACACTAGCTCGCTTAGCTAGATTAATACCACGCAATGTTATCCTCCAAGGAGGACAACCGCGTCAAGCGCCCGTTCTCGATACATAAGCAGATTGCGAGTTGATCTTGCGTATTTTCGGAGCAGGCGATTCAATCGTGATCAAGGGCAGTTGGGCCCGGAGGACTTTCAGTAGACCCAAAAGAACATCTCAAAACAATACACCTCAGGAGCAAAAGAACTGACGGTGCTGGGAATCGAACCCAGGCTGGCGCGGCCACAACGCGACGTCTTACCACTCGACCACACCGTCGACATATTTGGTTGTGCCGCCAACGCACTGGAAAGTACTAGCGATTTTGCTTGTCCTTTGTTTAGACAAACTGTCCGCATCCCACGACAACGGCGACCAGTTATCTCAGGCCCTCAGCGTCAGGCTAAATGACATTGCAATATCCTCCTTGGCATTCTTTTCCGGCTGACCGGTTTGAATGCTGCTGTTCAGTCTCTCAAGAATATGTCTCACGACTTCATAGTGGGTTATAGTACTATGACGGTGACTACTAGTATGACTGAAATCATGCCAGCAACATCGCAAAGTGCCTACGTGTAGTCGCGATGCGTAATAGAGCAGTCGGATAGAGCAGTCGGATAGATACCCAAGGATTGACTCTAACTGCTGGATAATGAACTGTGGCAGTTTTGACAGAACAAAACACATTGAGAGTTTTGCGGTCTTTTTTCTGTTAACGGTCCGAGGCACATTTCCTCCCTCCCGTGGAGGACATGATAACTTTCCAAGTCCTTGTAAGCGTGGAATCTTGAGAACGAGTTTGACAACATTCAAATTCTAGCTGTCGTTAAACGAAATGGAAAGAAATCGCGGACCGCTCCAGTCCAGTGTTGTGTCCTCAATGTCGGTTCCGAAGCGTGTTGAAGTACTAAGGAGTAGAGAGCCTGTTTCACCTCAAAGAGAAGATAAACAACACAACACAGCTCTATCAGTGAATAATGCATGCTTTGTGTTCATGATTTCTCTTCATTCTGTTATGTTAAAAACCGTTGTGTTGATCTTTTTATAATGAACCATTATAAAACTCAAACAATATATCCCCTTTTATCCTTTCTCTGGATTAGTAGGGAGACCTCGAGCTATGAGTCCCACCATCATCTCATATACCAGATATCGACTACGGCCACCGAGCAGGGTGAGGCTTGACTAATTGGGCCACGGAACTAGTCGAAATGTCACTTCAAACCCCCTCCCCTGGCTGGATGGAGAGACTGTTGTCGTCCAAGCAATACAGCGACTGTGTAATAGAACGTCAGGGAGAGAGTTTTTATGTTCATAAAGCCGTGGTGTGCACGCAATCCCCGGTTATTGCAGCTGCGATGGACGGACAGTTTCGAGTATGTTAATCGAGAAATCGATTAGAATCTATATTTTTTTGATAGCCTACCAGGAAGCGAGGACGGAAGTGATGCACTGGTTCAGTTTCGATGTTGAGACTGTCAAACGCATGATTGACTACCTGTACACCGGCCAATTCAATGGAGATCTAAAAAGCGAAGAAGTGGATAACGCCACTACCATAGGAACCGGGGATAGCTCGTTTTCTCAAGATGGTAGGCATCTGTTTAACATTATTTACGAACTCTTCAGCTAACATTAGCTGCTCGAACCAGATGCACTGTTAAGAATCCGTCTACACATGCATGCCATCGCAGATTATTTGGAAATATCGGGGCTTAGAGAGCGTGCAATTGAGAGCATCTGTCACGTTCTCGGCATCAACTGGTCTATTGAGAGATTTTTGAGTGTGATGAATATAATACTGGCAACCTCTCAAGACGCGGACATGTATGAAGCAATGGCGAGCATAGCTGTCGATCATATCAAAGAGCCGCTGGACTCGGTGGAGTTCATCCACCTTGATATGCCGAATCGGATGACTTTGGGTATAGCTCGAGAACTAGCAAAGGGACAGGCCCGTTCCCGCTGATATCACTGCCGTTGCTGTAGCCGTTGCAAGTTTCGTCAATAGCTGTTAGTCATGAATTGCTCCTTGATCATACCATTCGACCACCGACTTTTCTTATGTTTGCCGTTTTTGTCAATTTCCTCCTTTCTCCTTTTTTCCCCCTACTTCCCCCTATTTTCCCATATTATGTGTGGACGATGTGGCCGTTTCTTTCTACTTTGGCCTATTCTGCGTGACGATGACAATGACTCGCCGTTTTCATTCCTTTTTGCTGATGTCTTCCGTCCAACGTTGTATCTCTCTGGGGGTTTCTTGGGGAAACTGGAGGAGGGAAAGGGGGGAAAGAATGAAACCTAAAGTACTTGAGAATAACATTTTGTCTTTTTGTTCGGAACGATTACTATGTACGCTGGTGCAACTCATGCATGACTTTTCGTCCGCTTTTAGCTGAATTTTGGCAATCCCTTTAATGTGACTCACCACCCAACGAACTCATCCACCCAATGAACTCCAAAAAGCACTCTATAGAGCCGTTAATTTTCAACTGTAGCACAACAATGCAATAAGATATTAATATTATTTATTAAAGATTAAAACTATATGTAGAATACACCATATAAATATATATGATTAATTCAGAGAATGATTGCTTGGTCTAATAATCTGCCCAGAACATGAAATTCATGATTTTGAAACAGTTGAATCAGATCACAGTGGAGAAGATCTCAGAGAAGGAATATCATTTGATTCCACTGAAGAGACTTGCATGCAGCATTTATTACTGCTTTTAGAAGGTTGTATAGAGCTTCTATAATGTTTTGAGCTCACTGTTGATCTTCTTGTAGATCACTTTGAGATCTCTGTGAGCATTTGCTTTATCAACTATGTTTCATGATGTTTAGCAGCACATTCTTTCTTCTCCTTTTACAATTGAAGCTTTCATTCATTTTGCTGTTGCTTCTCTATAAAATGTTTAGCTGCAGCTGCAGCTTTGATCTTCTCACTATTATTATTAATATTCTTCCGTTATACTCGTATGCAAGCAGTGCTTATGACGAGTCCTTGTGTAATGTTAAATACAGGCAAGAGTTGGTTATCCCCTCGTCTGGCCGCGAGGCACAATTAGCGCCGTTTTTTAGCGTGTACGTTGGTGTATTAAAAACGCGAAATCTACTGGATTATATGATAGATCGGCTGTATTAGCGTGTTTTTGTGTAATCTATGTAATCTATTTGATCTAGCCCTAATTAAGATATAAAATGAAACTCCTGCCAACACCGGCTTTTCAGACAGAGAGGAATATTATTACATGCAGCACAATCATATCTTGATCTTGAAGCTCTACCCTTATTCTGCTCTGCTCTCTTTCTTTTATACTGACACCAGGCACAAGCTTGAAATCCTGGCAGAGAAATTCAATGGTGATTTAAATCTGAGTTTGATCAAGTGGAAGATAAAGGACTTGAAAATTCAAGGAGTTGAAGATAGAGCTGCTGGCGGAATTGAACATGAGATAGAGTAGTAGAGCCAAAGCCTGCAGCAGCAGGGCCTGAAGCAGCAGTAGAGCCTGGAGCAGCAGTAGCCATCAGAGCAGCAGTAGCCAATCGATGAAGAATATAAACATTGACAATTGCATGATCAATAATCCAGTATAGAATTGATAACCATGTGTGATTAGTGAGTATATGAGTCCCATAGAAAGCTTTATACTGACTTGCTAGGTCAATCCCATTCATATTATGATTATAATCATTAATAATGATAGAAATCTTTATAGCTTGTTTATATTTATCATCAAATAGATGTTGAATCTGTGAGCCATTGATGAAATTGATTTCAAAATGTTTTCAGATACATTCAATAAAGCTGTCTGACCTATGAACTGTAGACAGTAGTAAAACCACATTATTATCTTTCCATGCAAGACAGAGAACTTCATTTTAAGAAATAATACACAGAGTATTGAAGAGAATATGAGCAGATAATTCAGAGTTCTTCAATTTTTATAAAAAAGAAGGCAGATTGGCAGAATGAGTGATTTCACAAGCTTCAATTCCTTGCTTTTAAAGATAATGAAATAGAGCAACAGAGGTGAAGTAGTTGTTCATATAAATTGAATAATCAGCAATCTCTTTATTGTTATTCAACTTCATATACTGTTCAGAGTGCTGCAAGAAGCTCTGCTGCTATGTATGTATGTATGTATAGGTTTAACGTCCCGGAGAAAACACGGGCAGCGCCCGTGTTTCAGAAGCCTCCCGAAGGGCATGGAGACGTGCTACGCTGGAGAGATTTCTATGTACACAAAGAGAGAGAGAAAACAGAATCCAGGTGGCAACTCTTGAGAAGACTCAGCTCATTGCAAAGGATTTTTCTGAGCTGCGCATCCACTTCTGGCCCGACGTATGGCCATTCATGGTGGGGTTATAGTGTGGTTCCTTGAAGGGACCGCCGCTGCCGTGCCTGGAAGGCTTTATAGTGAGCAGAGAGGGATACCTCTCTCAGTTGATCAGAAAGCTGTCTGTGCTTCTAACATCAGAAGAAAGACAGACAAGATAAATAATGAAAGAAAGAGAGGGAAAGTGTGTGTTCTGAAATGAAAAGAATAAAAGAGAGAGGTGAAGGAAAGACTGTGTCATCTGCAACACCTTGCAGTCACGTGACCTGGCACAGACCCGGGGGAAAAGAGAGGGGAGAGCACTGAAGAAGGTTGTGGAAGGAAAAGAGCAGAGAATGACAGAGAGAGCAAAGAAAAGAAGGAAGAAGAAGCATTTGAGCCGATAGAGACAAGGGCAAACGAGAGGAAAACAAAGCAGAGTACGCGTAGATACAATGCCGGCAGTCAAAACCATATCAGCTGAGTCAGACACGTAGACTGTACTGATTACACCATAGCTAATTGAGACAGATGAGCCTAGTTGTGCTATCTGTACTGTCTGCATAGACTGTGATGTCCCTGGCAGTTGCACTAGCTACCGTGGGTGTACTCAGCAGGCCGGCCTCGTGGAACTGCTGCGGGGGTTGTCAGATGGTTTGCAGCCAGCCGGCTGCGTTACCTTGTGCAGTACCGTGTGTAGAACTGCGTGCAGTCCAGCAGTTCTACAAAGTCTGTAGGGGTCAGAGACCCTAGATAGGCAACAGCTGTCGCCCGGTTGTGTGGCCGTGCTGCTGGCCTCTTGGGCCAGTGAAGAAGGTGCCTCTGTAAGTGTCGACAGAGCACTAAATGTAAGCTTATGCTTTTCAATCAACTGAGTGTTTATAAGAGTGTAGTAAAGGAAACCACTGTCTATCATTGCTTGTATGTTGACTAAATTATTTATAATGATGGGATCTATGATTGCATCTACTTGTATTTTCTATTCAAACCTTCAGCTTGCTTCTTGCTTTTTTAACTCTTATTCATGTTTTAAAGTGGGAGCTCTTTGTTTCCCTGTCCTTGCTCATTTGTAGATGTAGTTGCATTCAGACATGGTGTAGAAGCTAAGACCACTGCATTGATGCACTGACTTATAAAGTGCCCCAGTCTGTTGCAATAGATGTAAACTCCTCAAATGATTTGATCAGTAACTTTTTATTTGAAGAGATCAGATATTCTTGACCATCTTGCATTCACATGAAAGGTTTAATCCATGATGTCTGCAGAGGTGGTTGATATAGTCAATGCAGTGATAGATGTAAAATTCTGCATACAATTGTTACAGCTTTTTTGTACAGTGTTGAAATGCATGAAGTTGTTGTCGAATTGGTATAAGATGTAAGATGCAGAGTTTAAACAGTTCAAAATTGATGTGCTGATTCAGAAAATTAATCTTCACAGTATCATCTCAGTTCTGTCCTTTTACTTTGTGAATTTTGCTATTGAAATCAGACAGATAGTTTGCTAAAAGGATATTTCTCTGATGATTTCTATTGAGCCACTGCATTGCACGTGCTTGCAGTGTAGAATTCAAGAATAGAATATCTAGGTAACAGAAAACTTCTTCAGAGGTACACATTTCATACACACACAATTTAATTCAGAATTGAAAGTTTGCTAAAACTTCTTCTTCTAACTGATTATGAACATAGCAGACTTGTGAGAGCAGAGAATCTATCACAGATTTATTCTTTTCAAGTTTGATTTTTATCTTTCATTTTCAAATTAGATAGATTGAGAGCTCTTCTGTGAAGTTGTCAAGAAAAAAAAGGTGTTTTTTTTTTATATGTAAAAAATGTTGACACTCGTATAGTTTCTGATATATTTATATTCAGATAATTCAATTGTCATTGAAGCTTCATTATCTGCAAAAATTGCTGCTGAAAGAAGTTATGAAGTTCAATGTTATCTTTAGCAAGACTTCAGTTCTCACTCATAAAGAGGTGTTTATAATTCATCTTATTTTCATATAAGATCATGATTTTTGATTCTGATAACTTGAAGATCGGAAGGTTCAGTTCTTATTTTTCAGAGAAAATACTTTATAAACACTCTGACCTCTTCACAGATATGCAATTATAAAGTTTTTAAACATTCAAACTTCTTCACAGCATTATCACAGTGTTGCAGTTTTGTAAAATTTGATAATTTATTTTTAATTTAAGCATCTGAGTGAAATTGTAAACATAGAGTACTTAAGCTGACGCAGATGAATCAATTCACAATATAATGAATGTACATCAATTAATGATTTAACACTATTCTAAATACAGATTGTGAATTGATTAAAGAAAGAAAGAGAAAAGAGATCAGAAGAAAAGATTGTATGAAAAGGGTTTTTATAAAAAGAAAATTAAAGTGGAAGAATATCAGAAGCTACTCCACAGTGGAGCACAGAGCAGAAGAACATTGAGGATTACACAGAAGAATTATTACAACTATATAAATGTGAAGTATGAGAAATTACACAAATGTGAAGTGTGAGGAACTACACAAGTGCAGAGTGTGAGGAACTACACAGGCGTGGAGCATGAGACAGAAGAGGTTGATTGCATAAGTTAATCATTATCAGATACTAACCTATCATAATCTCTCTGTTCAGAGCAATATTCTTCTCAGTGTGGAGAATTTTTTTTAATATAAACTGAAAGTTAATGATTATATTGATTTGTCTGTTTTATCAGATTCTGTAAAGCTCATATAAATGTAGATGTATGCTGCTGAAGCAGTTTTGAGAATGTAAGTGAATGTGATTGAATCTTTTTGAAAATATAAGCAGAATCTATAGAATGTATGTCAGTGATCATGAAGACAGATTTGATATTTTCTACAATTGTAGAGATTTCTCATACAGCATAAAATAATCATCAAAAATCTCATTTTATAATTTGAATAAAATTATAATTAGAATATGTATAAAAATCTAGTTGATCTGAATATATTTGTAATGCACTCGTTTATTATTTCCTTATTATTATATTATCTTTGTTTATATCTTCGTCTATTCTTACCTCTTTCCATTATACTCTCGCTACCACTATTTCTATATGTATATATATATGGATGCATGTATTTCGCACATCTTCTTTCTCTTTCTTTTCCTCTTCAGCGATTAGCTACAACTACAACTACAACTTCAACTTCAACTATACTACTACTATAATTATTATTATCTTCCCACTACACTATATACTATCTTCTACTATTCACTCTTCACACTGTCATCACCCCTCACAATATTTTTGTAAATGAGTCAAATATTTCAACATCTAACAGTTGTAAATGATGTGTAAAGTAAGAAGAAAGAATAACAAGTAAAATTCAATTCCAATTTGCATAATCAATGAATGTTATATTTATATGAGATGAATGGTCATTTAATATAAACAGTGTTGAAGGCTTACACGTAGTTGCTTGTTATTAATGAGTGGGAGCTAGCTAGCTATGTAATACACTATGAGATCACGTGAATACTTAGTCACGTGGTCACATGGCTGAGGCGGCTCAACACCCCCCCATGCCACTTTGCTGGCATCCCAGCCGCTGCTCTCTATTACCTTTCAACTCGTTCAAATCCGCAATGAAAGTTAATTACATGAAGTAGACTCTACTTGCCTAATAAGGCCTAGGTCCATACGCTCAAATACTATAAAACCAGTAAAATTCAACCCACTAGCCCGAGCATCTCGATCGCCCGGGTATTCATCTCGTAACTTAATGCCTTGGTCAGACAATCCGCTGCCATACCCGCGCTCTCAATGTGACACAGCTTAATGGTCCCTTTGCGGACCTCATCCCTGACATGGTGGAAGCGTATGTCAATATGGCGCACGTTCCGCGTCACCTTTTCGCCATTTGCCACCGCTATCGCGCCCGTATTGTCGATGTTCATGATGGTAGGAGCAGGTGAACTGCCATCCGCAAGACCCAGCTCATTAAGTAGGCCGCGGATTCGAATCACTGTCTTAAGCGCCTCACTGCACGCAACGTACTCGGCTTCAGTTGTTGACAGCGCCACTACCCCTTGCTTTGAGGATTTCCACGAGATTGGGCCACCGGCCAGCAAAATCACCATTCCAGAGGTGGACTTCCGGTCCCCAACATCACCCGCCCAATCTGAATCTGAAAACGCGTTTAATTTAGTGCCGACTTCCGCGGTATGGCGGTAGATGATTCTCAGGCTCTTGGTTCCCTTGAGATAACGAAGCAGGTGTTTAACCGCCGCCCAGCATGCTGTTGTAGGCTTACTAGCCCAACGCCCCAAATAACCGACCGCGAATGCTATGTCGGGCCTTGTATACGTGGCCAGGTGCTGTAGGGTGCCAACTGCCGCTCTGTACAAACTCTCATCAAATGGGTCACCTCCCTCGGGGGCGAATCCTGGATCCATGGGGGTTCGAACGGGGTTGCACTCTGTCATGTTGAATTTCTTAAGGGCCTGGTCAATATACACCTCTTGAGATAAGCAAATTCCCTCGTCCCCGCGTTCTACTTTCATACCCAGGTAGTGACGCGCCTCACCCAAGTCCTTAATGTTGAACTCCTTCGCGATCAATTTCGCCGTATCCTCTAGGGCACCCTCGTCGGGCCCCACTAGCTTCATATCATCAACGTACAACGTCAAATACACCTGCTTCTCGCGGTTATACCACAGCCCAGAGTCCCATTCGCTAGCGACGAATCCAATTTTTCCCAAGTAGGAGGTTATGAGGTTGAACCAATTCCGGGGAGCCTGCTTTAATCCATATAGGCACTGTACTACTAAACAGACATTCTTCTCTGGGTCCCCAACCTCGAATCCTTTCGGCTGTTGCATATAGGGCCTTTCACCCTCAGGGAGTTCTGCATTTAAAAACGCCGTCACGAAGTCGATTTGGCGAATCTTCCATCCTTTTGAGGCTGCGACTGCAAAAATCGTGCGGATTGTATCCGCGGATATGACGGGGGCGTATGTCAAGTCGTAATCTACACCCTTCTTTTGACGGAACCCCTGAACCACCCAACGTGCCTTGTAGCTTGTGATTTTTCCGTCTTCATCTGTCTTAATTCTGTACACCCACTTACCCCCTAACACAGAGGCCTTGGACGGTCGTTGGACAATTTCATAAAGTTCATGATCTTGAGCGCTTTGAATCTCCTTCTTCATCGCGGCAAGCCAGTTCTCCTTTTGCGGGCTTTCTATCGCTTCCCCATATGTATTTGGGACGCGGATCCCTGCGACAATCTCGTGATTAGGCTTTTTAAATGCCTTCCAACCCTTAAACGGTTGGCGGGCTACTTCTTCATCAGTGTCATCATCAATATTCTCCCTCTGCCCGGCTACGGCTAGTTGGGCCTTTGGCTTATTTTTGCTACCTTTTGGCCGTCCGCGCTTCTTTCCAGTCGTCCCCTGGGCTGATGGGAAAAGCTGGTCCTTTTTGGGTTGTTCCGCAGGGGTTATTTCAGTTTGTAGAGTGGAGTCCTCAGGAACAGGGGGATTGTAGGAAATCTGCTGGTCAACCTTCTCAGGTTCACCACTGGGGGTATTATAAGAAATCTCTGACGTCTTGCGATCGTCCAGAGCAGGGCCAACTAGGCGGTTTAATGTCGCACTTTCATTGAACTCTACGCTACTACTAACAACAACTTCCTTAGTAGTGGGGTTCCATAAACGGTAGGCATAGCCCCCGTAATATCCTATAAGGATGTGGCGTTCGCTGCGGGCTGCGAACTTCGATTTTTCCTTTTGGTTACCAACCTTTAATGCGTAGCAGGGGGTCCCAATCGCGCGTAGAGCACTTGCCCGCTTGTAAGGTTTCCCATCCCATGCTTCAAAACTCGTCATTGAACTCCAACGTCCTTCGGGTACAATCTCACTATATAATTCGGTCGAGGTAGGGGTGATGTTTGAGATCAGAGTCGCGGTTAGCATGCACTCCGCCCACATTTCAGGTGGGAGACCTGCTTGGACCATCATAGTGCGCGCCTTCATAGCTACGTCCTGAATCGCTCGTTCACTTACCCCGTCCTGCCAGGGAGCATACGGCTCCGTCGGTTCCCATTTAACCCCATGTTTGGTGAGGACATTTTGTGTCTTTTGGCCCCCAATTTCAGTCGCAAAATCAGACCTTGCAAACGCGACATTAACACCCAATCCTTTTAGGTGTTTGAGGTGGAATTCAACCGCATCAGGGGCTTCGCTTTTTGCTCTGAGGAAATAGGTGAACTTGTAACGAGTGGCGTCATCAACCACTAGGAGCGCGTATTTGTAACCCTGATTGCTAGGTGAAAAGACATTCAACCCATCACCAAGACTCTCACCACCGCCCGCGAGGTCGAAATGAATCCTATATCCACGATTCTTCGCCCGTGGCATGGGGATCCGTGAGATCTTGGTTTTCGCTTTTGAAAGTTTGCACGTCTCGCAGAAGGGCATCTTCAAATCCCCTTTGATAACTATACCCGACTGGGGGTCTTTCGCCAGTTTCAGAATGTCCCTTTCATTGAGGTGACCCAGACGGACGTGCCATGCAAATAGGGTGTTAGCCAGATTAGGAACGACTGATTTAGCCACTGCCGCTATTGCGGCTTCTTTGGTGCCATGTATGGGGAAGACGCGTGAGTTGTTTATCGTTGCGTAAAAGACCTCGCCATCTGGGGCCTTGATCTTAAACCCGTACATTTTACTGTCCTCTCCCCGAAGTAGCTCAAAGTCGAACCCATCACATAACAACTGACCAAAGCTGACGAGATTACTTGCCACATCTGGAGTGTAATTCGTTTCGTTTAGGCGTAGGGTCGACCCATTCAACATAACATTCGCCTCGCCAACTGCTTTCGTGCGGATAGAGCCTCCATTGGCGTCCTCCGCAAAATTTCCGTCATCTGAGGGCCGCAGACTGCTGAGCACCTCCATATTGGGTGTTATATTGCCCGAACACCCAGTGTCTAAATACCAATTCGGATCGCGTTGAGGACGTAACGCGGCCAGTCCCTTCAATGAGCTCTGGAATTCGGGTGGTTCCTCGCCGTTTTTCTTAGCAAGTTCCTCAATCTTTGCTTTTCGGGACTGCTGCCACTCCTCACTCTGATCTCTCCAGTTCTTGTAGTGACAATCCTTCTTTATGTGGCCTGGGTAGCTGCAGTAGTGACATTTAACCCCAGTCCTTTCCTTGTCCGAACGCTGCGAATTTTGGGTGTTTTGTGAGGTGCTCGGATTGGTGTTCTGCGACGTGTTCAACTCCTTTGAATTTTTGGTAGTCAGGGTGTTTGAGCTCTGCGAACACTCTTTTTCACTGTCATTAGCCTTCTTGGACTGCATCCCTTTACCCGTGTCCTTCTTGACGACAGTCTTTAGTCGTATAAGCTCGTCGATAAGATCATCTAGGTCGTACACAGGGATGTGATTTTTGTCATGCCCGTTCCGCAAGTTCTTGAGATAATTTTGTACCCAGTCCTGATTGTGGGTTTTTAACGCGTCAACAAAGCGTTGTCGGAGGTACGCATCTGGCAGCGCCCATCCTTTTGCTGCGATTTCATTAACTGTTTGACGCCAGTCCTGCACAAAGGGGGTGAGATCCCCCCCATGCCAATAGATGTTCATATGGGAGATTCGACTGTATAACGTGTTTTGGTGATCCGCCGCGTGAACCTGGTATTCAAGTTCCAATGCTCGCCACAGAGCTGCGGTGTTCCCCATTTTTCCGGTTTCCTCATCACCCTGTAGTTTTGACTGCGCGAGGGTCTGGGCATTTGACTTCATATTATTCCATATACATTCCCACATCCGCCTGTTCTTATAGCTCCATATCTTGCTCTCATCAGGGGTGGAGTCCTCGGGTGCTTGCTCCTCGTATTTGGTGAGAATGGTGTTGGCCTCCAGCAGTACTGCTCTCGCCATAACTTCGCGTTTGAACGCCTCAAAGTTTGAGGCCCCTGCAAGCTTTTCATTCAGCGACAAGCTGACGTGGTCGTGTTCATCCTTGAATTCTTTAAGGGCAGACATTGAGCCCCCATTATTGCTGCTACCCGTTGACAATGTGATTCCCATCTTTGCTGCCCATCGCTGTTGTGCCACTTGTGCGGCCAACTCTGCTGGGAACCCCTGTGCCACCAACCGATTGTATGTTGTTGCCAGTTCAGAGACATCATCGCCATCTGAGGTTCGACGCGTGTGGGAGCCTGAGGGCTCTCCACCACCTGTCGAACGTCCTGTCGATTCATTCGCCATATCGCGTCTCTTTACCTGTTTGACGGTAATGGGGGTCGGCTGTTGTGGGAATGTAGGTGGTCTGCTAGGGGTCTCAGGTGGGGATTCTATATCGTTGCTTTCGTCCGCAGTTGAGTATCCTATATCCAGGTCTTTTTCTGACTGCATACGTGCCTTTAGACGTGTATTGTAGCCTGTGGATGATGTCGGTGGCATCCGAGCCGTAGGATAGAGGAATTTGCCGTGCCCGGACGCGTTCTCAGCGCACCAGCTAGGTCAACAATTCCAATTCCTGACCGAAATCTCCGTAAAAGTGTCTATAGAGCTCTTGCTCTCAATTTCGGAGGTTCTGGATCGAACTGACGCGCCTCTAACACAAGAGGGCCATAACCTGTTGAAGGCTTACACGTAGTTGCTTGTTATTAATGAGTGGGAGCTAGCTAGCTATGTAATACACTATGAGATCACGTGAATACTTAGTCACGTGGTCACATGACTGAGGCGGCTCAACAAAAGATAAAATGTAAAAAAAATTACTGAACAAGTAAACTCTACACATTCTCGATGATAGTCCCGACCAACAACCATGTCATGTATAGAAATTGCATATAGATATCCATTTGGGTATAAAGTCTAAAATCGAAAATCTAATATAAGAATGAAACTCAAAAGTGAGAAAAAGGATGGGGTGAAAAGAAAATAACTTTTGCCCAATTCCTCATCATTTCCATTGACCGACCCTATGGTTCCCATTGTTTGTTTGGTGAAGTGGATGCGGAGGCGGAATGATGGGTAACCATTACCATTGTCCAAGCTTCTGTGCAATGGGGATGTCTCCTGATTCACACATCGAAGCTTAATCAAAAAGGGACCGACAGCCATTGGCTCGTTTGCATTTCATCTGTCTAACATTGGTACTCCCTGGTTGGAAAATGGTGCTGTTCACTTTATTAGTTCCATAGCTAGGGTGATGTTTATTTTATATACATACATACATACATATATATATATATATATATTTCTCAGCGGGCGTTTTTATCTTGGTTGATATCTCTATCGCTTGATAATTGTAACTGCACAAACGGATTTTTTGTAAGCAATGGGTTCGAGTTTCGTAAGAGACACGGCACATAAGGGTTATAAATTGGAATGGAGTTGTTGCATACTGATATCTTCGTCAGCAAGTTCATGACTGAGTCCCACTCTTTGAGGTTGATGTTTGACCGAACGGCCGTAAACGATCGCATGTTTGAATTGATCCACGATGGTTTTGTGAATGGAGTTACACTGTAGCGGAAATAAACAGGTTAGCTAGCTTCGCGTCTCCCAATGATGTCGAAGGTTGAAATTTTAGGTTTAAACTTACAAAATCTTCAACGGTACAAGCAGTTCTCCGCAGAACAACAGGGGAGGAATAATCTGGACTTTTCCCCTTTGGTTTTGTATAGACTCTCCTGAGATCGAGTTTCTCCCACATTAATTCGAGTAGCTCATCAATGTTCCAACCATGTTCAGAGCTGATCGGGCACGCGTTTGGGATTCGGTACAAGAGGTCCAATTCCTCAATGGATATGGCATCTATCTTGTTCAATGCGTAGATTACGGGGATATAACTCCGGCTCTTCGCTTCCAACACATCGATGAGGTCATCAATTGTAGCATCGCACCGAATGGCAATGTCAGCAGACGAAATCCGATATTCTCCCATCACAGCTTTGATTTCCTAATAAAACCACAAACATAAGCAAAAGGCTCCCGCAAGATGGATCAGCCAAACTTACGTCATGATCAATATGCGTTAAAGGAACGGTACTGGTGATAGAAATCCCGCCCTTGTCCTTTTTTTTAAATACGATGTTTGGAGGTGACTTGTTAATCCTAATCCCAAAGCCTTCCAATTCTGCCTCGATAATTTTTTTATCCGTCAAGGGTTTATTCACGTCCAAAACGATGAAAATGAGATGGCAGGTTTTGGCAACGGCAATAACCTGCCGACCCCGACCTTTGCCATCTTTGGCACCTTGAATGATGCCTGGAAGATCGAGTATTTGGATTTTCGCACCATTGTATATCACCTGGCCGGGAACAGTCGTTAAGGTAGTGAATTCGTAAGCGGCAGCTGCAACAGGAAATTCCGTTAGGACGTTGTTGCAGCAAATAAACAGACATATCAGTCGTTGGCGTACCCTCAGAATGCTGTCCTGTTATTTTGCTCATCAAAGTACTCTTCCCGACGGATGGGAAACCGATAAACCCCCTTTAAAGCACACGAAAAAGTGAAGTCAGTTAAAGAAAATAATGACAGCATCGTTAAATGGGAACCGAGACATACACGCTTGCAACCCCAGTACGCGCAACATCGAAACCACCTAATAGCGGCGGGGAAAAACAAAAGAAAAAGAATTACCGTCAGCTAATACTCATCCACAATGACGAAAATGGTAAACAACCTGATAGGAAAGCAAGAGAAGGAAACAAAACTTACTTCCGCCCCCTCCGCCGCTCGAGGAAGGAGTAAGCAGCTCTCTCTTTAGCTTCGCGAGCTTAGCTTTCAGTTGTCCTAAAAAAAAAAAAAAAAAATAAGAAAAAGAAAAAGAAAAAAAGAAATCAGATATTGCTCGACAGGTCCGTCAGCTCCGGCGAAGCTCCACAGTCCACCCCGCTTCCACACACAATGTCCATGCGCAAAACGCACCTAAATGAAATGATGTGTTCTTGTTCTTTTGAGTCCGAGCCATCTGTAGGGTGGTTAGTCTCGGGGAAGGGAATAACCCCAGGTTCCGAATGGTTGCTAGTAGAAAGGCTTACTTCGGCCTCGATCTCCTTGATCTAAATGGGCGCCATCATGTGTCAGTCGGCAAATTCCCGATAAGATGGAGGAGGAGGAGAGGGGAAGGGACCTTGTCCACAGTCGTCGCCATGATTGCGGAACTGCGGAATTGTGGCTTTTATCTTTTTGGAAAGCAAAGCGTTTTTGAAATATATACAATATATATCGAGGGACCGGGAAGCCGATGAAGGAATGTAGGGAGCTCTATGTATCTATCTGTATGATCGCGCTTAAAGTTCGAAGTCAATCTGAGATTTGAGTCCAGAATCGGACTTAGTCATCCATTTGTCAAGCCTTGGCAATGCAGTTCCGAAAAAATCAGGTGATTCCCGGCTCGAATAGTTCCGGAATTCGCTTAGTGCCGGGTCAACGTGGTTGAAATGCGGAAATTCGGCCGATATGCACAAAACCAGGCACAGCGAGCCGTTGGTTGGGGCTTGGGGTTTCCCATGGGCCGAAACAGTATCGCGGAAATTTTGACTCACGCGGAAATCGCAGTGGAGTAGTAGCCAACGTGTTCGTTTATTATCATGGCAAGGTCTTGCAGCTCGTTCTTGTTTCAGCGTCGCAGCAACACTTCCCCCCCGGACTGTTGGACTCCATCTAGGCTCTTGCCTGTTGAATCCGCCCATCTGATAAGATTATTTCCACCCGCTTGCTCCTCTGTCTCCTCCGTCTCCTCCGCCACACCCGCCACACCCGCCAACGCATTCTTCCGTTGTCTTAGTCTCATTGTTACATTCATTTATACCCAACACCCCAACCCCAGAGTCCCCACATCATCACCAGATCATCCCCACAAAATCCCCCCAGAATCCCCCTTTTCCTCGCCCCTGCATTCAGCCCCCAGCTAAACAGTACGAACATTCCAACACAATGCCATATCTCGAGAAGAGCGAGTCCTCTCCGGACCCCACCCCGATCGATGCCTTCCACTGCTTGGTACAAGATATCAATAAGGTCCTTGGTCCCAGTTCGGGACTAGACTCGGACGACGTCGATCCGATGGATATCCAGAAGCTTATGGAGGACTATACTTCGAACGAGAGCGAATGGGAACGGTATGCCTTTGGTGACGCTGGCAGGGCGTATACGAGGAACCTGGTCGATGAGGGCAATGGCAAATGTAATCTGGTGAGTCTCCATGGTGGGAGTCGATCATCGATTAGGATGGATTGATGATATGAGATGAATTGATGTTCACGGGGTCTCTGTGTTTTGAGCGTGCTGACTGGTGTGAATAGCTTATCCTGGTGTGGAGCCCTGGAAAGGGAAGCGCTATTCATGACCATGCCAACGCCCATTGTGTTATGAAGGTTAGTATCAGCAGAGGATCCCCGTTTCCTTTTGATTTCGATAGTTACAGGGGAATTTGTCTACTAATATTACTTACGTCACAGGTGCTAAAAGGTTCTCTCCGAGAGACGTTATATGGGTGGCCAGAGTCGGACAAGGTACTGAAGGGGGAGCCATCGCCCTTGACTGTCACCAGGGACAAGGTGTATAAAGAAGGCCAAGTCACATACATGTCAGATAAGGTTAGGAAAAAAAAAAAAAAAAAAAAAAAAAAAAAAAAAAGACAAATAAAAGCTCCTTGATCCTATTTTTAGAGCTTTCTGGAAGAATGTTAACTGACAAACTAAAAAGCTGGGCTTGCATAAAATCTCCAATCCCGATCCGACAAATTTTGCCATTTCTCTGCATCGTAAGTACCTCCCCTGCCGAACGGGGCAATATCCTTGTTCGTGCATTTAAATTTACTGATTCAATTATTTTGGACCAATCCTAACCGGGGAACAGTCTACACGCCACCAAACGCTGCACATTACGGGTTTTCCCTCTTTGACGAGAAGACGGGCAAGTCGCGCCACGTCAAGCAATCCGTGCTCTTCTCCAGGAAAGGACATAAACTATGATTTCAGCATTTGTGAAAAGAATCGGATGCTTCTTTCCGTCCTAAATATCCGTTCTAAAGGGATGAAATGGAGGACCATATGCTGGTGAATCTCTGGAGCACCCGTTTGAAGAAACCGTTCTTGCAGGGTGGAGTCTGGAGTCCGGAGTTTTGGATTTAGGGTTTCGGATTGGGTTAGCGCCCACATCTTTATTCCTCGTTCTTCAACAGACAGGGCGTTTCCACACATGCGTCGAGCTAGTCGAGCTACATGGTCTCGCAACCCTCCAAGTTCAGATGCATTCTTAACACGTGAACATTCATTATTGTTATCATTACTGGAGCTGTTGTAATTCCTACTCTCCCTTTTTGTTAGCGTTTAGGTGGTCCGCCATAAAGTTGTATAGAGTCAGAGCCCACTCCCCTCATACAGTTTGAATATGAGACATTAATAATACAGTACATGTATTCAATCAGCATCGCAGACTTCCAATAAGCAACTAACATATGTAGACAAGGATGCAAAAGTGGGATTTCCAGGGTTATACTGGATGAGTGTCGTCCGAGCCTACAGCGTAAATGTCAAGCAGCGGGTAGCGTTCCTGTTCTTGAAAATCATAAGTTGACACTTTAAAAGTTAAACAATGTTGGTGCCTAGATTGGCACGTCTGACGCCGAAAGTTGTTCCAGTCCGAAAAATTAACCACGTTGATGTTGTAATAAACCACGTTCAGCTGTATGCTCTATTGTAGAGCAAAAGCAGCATTCTGACATAACTGGGTTCGTGTTAGTGATATGTTGGCATCACAAGGGGGTTTCAAACTTGATGCCTGACACTGCACTCCGTAGTTCTTGATTTGAAAAATCCAGCGTTGTCTTAGTACGGAGTATTTAGGTGTGATTTTCTAAATGTTACCGCAGCAAATGCATACCTATGTTATCGCTGTCCAAACTTCTATTCCTCGCGGCTTGCTTCTAGATTTGATCCATCGATTTCGAGGCTTGCCGCTTGTTAGTATTGAGGATTCATCCAAAAGATAACTTGAATGCAATGACGCAGTGGCTGGGCATTGAGCCCAAGCCAATTACGGTTAGGTCAGCGCCAAGATCCTGGGCACGTGTGTCATCCGGTGCATTCGTCACCCCCTCTGGCACCTTCGCGAAAAAACGCAGAAAAAAGCATCATCTCTTCGTCGCGCAAGCTAACATTATTCTTGGAATCAATACTCTCGCGCGCTCCCGTTCACAGGCGGCATCGCCCGTCATTCTCTGCCCACCGGCCTGCCTGCCTTCTCAAAAATGCCATTGCTATCCAACTGAATGCTGCTGCCTTCTGCGTTATGCATGTCCGCACCGGGATGCGAACGCAACGGCTAGTCGTCCTTCTGGCGATTGTCTGCCTCGTAGTGCTTTCATTGACGCTCCTGGGGCATCCAGCTGCAGCTGTGAAAAGTGGAAACAAGGGGAAGATCTTAACAAACAACCGTTTCGAACCTGGGCCGCGGCCGCTCCAGCACCAGCAACAGCAGAATAGCCCTCACGAACGTCCTACTACCGCGGATGACTTCACAGGGCCATCCCATCCAATCGCCGAGCTGTTCGATGATGCGAATAGAAAATTCGACGATGTCCGTGCGCGGCAATCGAAGACGCTCAAGGATGCAGTGGAGGAATACCGCCGTCGCTATAAGTTGCCTCCCCCACCGAACTTCGACGTGTGGTTCGACTTTGCACAAAAAAGGGACGTGCAGCTGATTGACGAGTTCGATACGATCTATCATTCTCTTCTACCGTTTTGGGGACTGCAGCCCAAATTAATTCGAGCGAGAGCGATGGAGGTGATTGGTTTTGATAACGGTGTTATCGCCATCTTGATCCGCGACGGCAAGGTTTCAAAAATAACGGGTGGGGATGAGGGTGAAACGTGGAAGCGAAATGCGCTGCAGAATATGCTAGAGCCATTTGTGAAATACTTGCCTGATTTGGATCTGGCCTTTAACGTCCATGATGAACCTCGAGTCGTTGTTCCACACGACGACCTTCAGCGTTTGGTGGTTCGTGCCTTGGATAACGCTCTGCCGAAGGCTCTTAGAAATGCTTCACCGAAAAATTCCTGGTCACCACGGCCCAAGGACATGAACAAGGGCGACAGGGTCGACGAGGTCAGGATCACGCAATTTAATCGATATGCGCACCAGCCCACATGGATAGTCTCGCGCATGTCCTGCCCCGTGGATAGCCCCGCTCGTTACCTCGACGGAACAGCCGCCGACAATATCACCTCTTACACCTACTCGAAGCTTGGCTTCCTGTCCAACAGCACTGCCTTCTCAGACATATGCTTGTCCCCTTCTCTCCAATATACATTTGGGTTTTTCGACCGCCCCAATGCATTTAACGTCGTCCATGACCTCTTCCCCATCTTCTCGCAGAGCAAAGTGTCCAGTTTCCAAGATATCATATACCCAAGCCCGTGGTATTGGGCTCAAAAGGTTCCATACGATGCTGCTAAGGATATCGAATGGGATAAGAAAAAAGAGCAAATGTACTGGCGCGGGTCAACAACAGGCGGTTTCTCAAGAGCTGGCAGCTGGCGACGACAGCACCGGCAGTTATTTGTTAAAAAGATAAACGGCCAGGATTCGGCCAAGGTCCTTGAGAGATCCACCACTCCCAGCGGAAAAAATGCATGGGTTCTCAAGGACGTCGCGCGACAAAAATTCAAAGACATATTCAACGTCAAGTTCAGCCATATCGGCCAATGCGACCCGGAGGACTGCAAAGTGCAAGCTGAGTTTTTCGACGTTGTGGAACCTGCTAGTCAGCACGATGCGTGGAACTACAAGCATCTTCTCGACATTGATGGAAACGCGTTTAGTGGCCGTTACTATGCGTTCATGCAAAGTAATAGCTTGGTATATAAGCTTGCACTTTTCCGCGAGTGGCATGATGAGCGGCTACGCGCGTGGGTGCATTATGTGCCCCTGAGCTTGCGCGGTGATGAACATGTAGAAGCTGTACGATATCTTGCTATGGAGAAGGAGGGACAGGCAATTGCACAAAAATTGGCGAACCAGGGGAAGGAGTGGGCGAACTCAGTGTTACGAAACGATGATCTTGAAGTTTATTTTTTTAGGTTGTTATTAGAGTGAGTTATAAGTCATCCCTCCCCTTTTATTTTCATACATTGGGATCTGATCAATGACTAACTGGTGGAATTCGATTCAGATATGGGAGAATTGTGGATGATAACAGGGAAAGTATAGGGTTTTCTCCGTAAACGTAACTCGAAACGACCATGAGGGGCCTGGTTGCTTTTTTTTTTTGGGTCAGATGGTATATTTGTTTATATCTACAAGTACATACTTTTTGTGATTTTTGTCAAGCGTCTTCTTTTCTCACTACATACTATATTATTTCTTCTCGCCGCGGCCCCTTGGATACTTCTTTCATAATTTTTGGTCTGCTCTCCCTCCTTCTCCCCCGTCCTCTCCCCATTCCCTTCTCGCTCACTCTCGCGCTTTGTTCCGGCACCAGACACGTACTTGTTGAGCTAACACGTAATACTCATGGAACTTACACCCCGCAGCTCTTTATTATACCTTTCCCTTCCCTCCTCTAGCACCCTGTGATGTGGTTGGTTGAATTTGCAGCATTTACTCGCGTTGATCTTGCATTCATTTTCTTGTATCCACCTTTTTACCACCTTTTCTTCTTTTTTTTTTTTCCACCTTGTCTATTACCCTTAAATCATTTGTCACTATGATTCTCGTCCACTTTACTCTCTTCCAGGAGGCCCAGCAGAGTGCCCTACACCTTCCCCGGATACTCAAATGCGTCCGATTCGATATTTAACCATCGCTTTTGTCCGCTCTTCATTTCTCTCTCTTACATATACATATACTCTTTTTGTTTATGTGATTTTTGTATTTTTATTCCTCCTCCCCAGAGTGGAACATCGTCTTTTTCAGCTCCGTGCTTTTCGCCTCCCTTTATAACTTGGTGGTATATTTGCGATCTGATATGTCAGGGATAGATATTGGAACCATTTATTCAGTTTGTTCGATTGGTTATAGATGCCAGTAAAGCGCCTATTAACTTTCCTGGAATAATAGGCATCATTAGGTATTAAAATGACTAAGTTACAGTCCTGTAGACTGTAGTGACGTCACATCCAGAGGGCCAAGAACAACCTTGGCCACCTGTGGCATACATATAAAAGCACATCGATCCCCCTGAATCATTCTCACCATCGCTCTACGTCAACTTGCAGGAACTGTGAACATAGTCAAGGCAATAGCCGCGGCTGCTGTCTGTCGAAGATGTAGCTGTGCATTCTCCCTTACCGCGATGGTACCTATGTTTCTAAACCAACAGCTCAGATTTTATTTCCTGGACCTTCGGACAGCTTAAACCATCCGTTAATCTAGCCAACCAAAGGCCTCTCTGAGGGTAAGAACATTGATCTCAGTTGATTTTAAAATTTCCGTCTATTTTTAATTTTTCATTGACTGTTCAGCTATTATTATTATGCACCACGCCCATGAAAGGCCAGCAACAAGTGGCTAGACAGGCGCATGGTACAAACTAGGGGGCCCATGATTCGGAATATTTTCGGACGCTTGTCATTATCGGCCTGTCGTAGTGGATGGGACGTATGAAAATTTGAGAAAGCGCCCCTTCTTTGCGAATGGGGTAGAAGTGGGTGGGATTCTATATGCCATAGGTGTGCTGATAATATCGAAACGCACCCAACAGGAGGGAGAATCTTTACTGTGCTTATTTGGAGCTTTTGCTCATTCTTCATTCTTCTGCTTCTTCCTATTCGGTTTGATCTACCCAACTCGAATACCGAGATACCCGCATTTTGTCTTCGCAACAGCATCGTCGTTATTATTCGACTGCCGCATATCCTACTGCAGCGAATTGGGAAAACGGGATACCCTTCCTAAAAACCCACGCTGTCTCTGAGCCGCGAGTCCAATCAGAAACAACAATGGGGGGATCTACGCCAATAATCAGGGGTCTGCTTATGACCCTTGCTACATTCTATGGAATCTACACCTTTTTTAGGTATGGGGTCATTGCAATATGGGCGGGGACGTTCTTTCGTCGGCCGACAGAGAAGGAGAGGTTGGAGCTATTATTAGGTAAGTATATCTGATAATTATCTGCTCTAGGATTCCTATTCGTCTAGTTTGGTCTAGATGTTTCAGAGAGGAAAGCGGGGATATAAGATAGGAAGAAAAAAAAAAAAAACGGTGTAACTCAATCGTCTAATTTTGTTTGAACACACGGTACTTAGCAAAGGACCGCCTCTGGAACCTCTCTAAGCGATGGGATGGTTTCTCCCACCACTTCATAACTCTCCGCGATGGCTTCAAGTTCCACTATGTTGCCAATGGACCCATCTCAGAAGACCTATCATCACCAAGACCAGGATCAACACAAACGGAAACAAGGAAACCGCTCGTCGTTTTCGTCCACGGCTTCCCGGATAGCTGGGCGATATGGCGACACATTCTGCCGTCATCGTTACTTTGGGAGCACAGCACTGTTGTCGCCGTTGACCTGCCGGGTTATGGCGGGACCGATTCGCTGGCAACGTACAGCGCGACGGAGGTAATGGAACATCTTGCTGAGTTCCTCATCGCTATCAGGAGGAAGTATGGGATTGATTCGGATGATGATTATGAGGAAGTCAGAGCAGCAGATGAGAAGCGGCAGGCTGGGAAGGTTATTTACGTTGGCCACGATTGGGGAGCTGTGTTGGGCTTTCGCCTTGCGTCAGACGCACCGCAGTTGGCAGATAGGTTTATATTGACGAATGGTCCATTGGTATGTTTGGGTTTTGAGGCTTATTTTTTATTATTTATTTTCAACATATCCAGCTGGCTAATATATTTTGTACATTGAACAGGTACCATTAGCTCAGTCGAATCTCACTCGAGCATTGGAATCCTCGAGTAAAATGTTTAAAACATTCTTACGCAACCCATTCCAGTCCCACAGCCTTCTTCTACAGGCAATAGCTGGGCTGAAGCCGCTGTTTCGCCAACTAATCCTATCTGACTATATTTTTGTATTCCAGATCCCTATGCCCATGGTACGTTACGTAGGCAAGGGGGGCAACTATTCGTTTTTAAAAAAATTGCACGTCCTTGCAGCAGGGAAGGTGATCGAATTTACCGTTCGGGATGCCGAGGAATCCATGGCCAGCACACTCGGCCCCGGTGGTGCAGAATTCAAAACCACCACAGCCGATGGAGACAAGTATCCAGCCAGCGTCTGGCGACGCATCGAGAGAGGTAATTTCGGCGACATGGCCTCCTACTACCGCCACGGTGCTGCGGTAGGAACCTGGCACAAGTCGCTGGAGGTAATTTCGGCCCTATACGGGCTTGGGGAGCCCCGACGGACTAGCACCGGGATGGTTATGCAAGAAGGACCCATCGGAGCGCTCCACGCAAATGCGACCATTTTATGGGGAGAGCAGGACATAGCCTTGGACCCCCATGTGGGGCTGGAAGGGATTGCGGATTACCTGGTGCATGGAAGTCAAGTGGTGATGTTACCGCGGACAGCGCATTTTCCGCCGGTAGAGATTGAAGGGCGTGTGGCTATTGAGAAGGCGGTTGAGTGGGCTGTTGGTGGTGAAAAGGGCGATGTCGGCGCAGTGGTTGCTGAGGTGTATCCTGGCGCGGTTGTGACTGTGAGGAAATGAATGAATGGATGGATGGGATGGGATGAGAATGATGCTGAGTGGACTGGAGCTCACGGATTGTGGATTGGAGAAGGGAGAAGAGGAATTGGAGGGATGTATTTGTCGGTTTCCTTGCTTGTTTCCTGGCTTGTTTCCTGACTTGTTATCTGCTCCACTGAATCTGGGTGGAATTGGAAAGCGATTTATCATGACATGTTCATTATGTTGGAATTGGATTTTGCGGCAAGTTAGCTACGAGAAACGATTGTATTTGCCATTATTGCGTTGCAGAAGTAATCAACAACTCCTCCTCCATGGGAAATGTGTAACTATCTGCTTGCTTTGTCTTGGATGGAATTGAACACACCGTGAACATTCATTGCCATCATTTGGCCGCCGAGTAACTAAATATCAGCTGCATTAGCGCAGCTTTCGTGCCGTCTCTTCTCGAATTA